AATACAATTGGAATGTCTAATAGGTACAAGATTTAGTTGAGATATTTAAGTAAAAAAAAAATTACCAACTTTAAGGGGTCGTATAAATGCCCTGTTTAATTTTATGTATTAAAATTCACATAACTTATAAGAATTTTAATATTAAAAACCAAACGCCGTATGAAATTATGCGAATATGGGGATTTATACTTCATACTAAATGTTGTATAAAATAATATGAAATTTTATTCCAACTTATTTTTGCTTATACTTATTATAACTAAATATGTCTTGTGAATAACAATCATGGAATTAATAACTTGGGATAAATTAACAACATGACACGTTATTCTTCTTAAAAACGTTATTTTTCCCTAAGTCTATTATGAAAGCTAGTTTTAAAATTTAGAACAAAATTTTACTTAAGTTTATATGATTTAAACAACAACAACAACAATAACATACCCAGTATTATCTCACACCATAGGATCTGGGAAGGGTAGTGTGTACGCAGATCTTACCCCTACCTAAGGGTGGCAAGTGGGCCGGTCCGGGATCGCAGGTCAAATGGGCCAGGACCGGTATTCGTGGGCCTGGTCCGGACTTCTGGGCCGGTTTAACAGTTGGGACCGGAACCGTTTGGGACCAGGACCTGACCGGTCCCTGGCGGGCCAAACGGTCCCAACCGTCAAATTTCAAAAAAAAAAATTGGCCGTTGTGGAGTTTAAAAAACAGTCGTTGGCTGTCACAAAATAGCCATTTAACCCCCCCCCCCCCCCCACTTTGTTTTAACCCCAAACTTTTTATAATTACACTTTTTCCCTATTTTCAACTAAAATACCCCCTCATTCTTTTATTTTTCTTACAAAATCATCAATCTATCACAATCTCTCTCTAATTTTCTTCTATAATTGCTACTATTGCTTACTTTATTGTTACAATTTGTGAAAAAATTATGAAGTTGGTGAATTGAAGTCTTCAACGATAATTAATTTTCAACAAGTTGTTCGTCAATTTGATAAACTCGTTCCAACTCTTAAGTTTTAATATTATAGTTTTGTTTGTTTTATTTATTTTCTATTACTTGATTAATTAAGATGGCTTCCTTAAAAAAAAAACTGGGTAAAAATAAGGGAAAATCCAAGAGTGGCGAATCTAATGGTCATTTTGTTCCTCCTTCACTGCCCCTGGCTCCTCGAACTAAACTCCATATCCGTCCTACACCTGCTATTCTTGATAGCGATAATAGTTTATTACAATTTACTTAGAGTCAATTTTGCCATAAGATTGCAGATGGTAAACAATTAGACCATGAATTAATGAATGCTCTTTATTCTAATCCAACTATTGATGAAAATGATGAGCAGGAAATTGTTTTTCATGAAACTCAATCTGATAATGATACACGCACTAGTCCTGCTCCTGATGTTAATCCAACTAGTGATAACCCTGCTAATCCAAATGATGCCCCGTCCGATATCCTGTTACTGTCCCTACTTTTTCTAGACAACCTACCGAACGGGCAGAAACATCTCTTGTTTTGCCATTTTTTACTCAATTAATTCCAGAAAATAAGGCTAAGTGTAAAACTTGTGGCACGAAGTTAGCTTTTAAATATTTTGGATCGCGAGGGGGGACGGGAACTTTGGCTAGACACATATTGAAATACCCTCAAGATAGAGTCAGATATCTTCGTTTGGAAGATTTGGCCGAGGGGAAAAGTGTACCTACTCCTAGTTAGGCTGACCCTAGTACCAGTTCAAATCAATTTCAACCGGGAGTTAATACTGTTACCGGTGGTATTTTATATTATGATCCAAAAAAAGATCGGGGAAGAATTGGCAAAAATGGTAACTGTTATGTGCTTACCCTATCGTTTTCCTTCTCACCCTAACTTTATGCATTATATTAGAATTTTTTTAATCCTACTTATAAAGGTTTTCCTCGCACACCCATAAAGAGAGATATTTATAAATATAAACAATATTTGCGCTTTTTATTTACTCATGTAAATTGTCATATTGATATTACAACTGATATTGGTAGAAGTGAAAACGACCGTGATTACCTCACTGTTACCAGTCACTGGATTGATGAGGATTGGATAATGCAAAAGCGCATTATTGCTTATAGAATAATTAATTCACGTCACACAGGGGCAGTTTATTGCTAGCACAGTTACGGATATTTGCAGATATTTTTTGCATTAGTGATAAAATAATGTCAGTTTTAATGGATAATGCTACTAGTAACACAAATGCTATAGGTTTGCTTACCACTACGCTAAGTCCTGCATTTAGTAATATTTTTCATGTTAGATGTATTTGTCATATTTACCATTTAATTGTGGGTGATGATATGAGAATCTTAAATATTAAAATTGAAAAGGTTAAAACGGCTCTTAACTGGCTTTTTTATTCAAACCATAGAAGTAGACTTATAGAATATTTTAAAAGATGTGATGAATGTGGCCTAAGAGAAAGAAAGGTTCCTAAACGTTGTCCAACTAGATGGAATTACATGTATGAAAGTTTGGTTGTTGCATATGAATATAGAAACCCCATAAACTCAACGTTTAATGCACATGTAAGTGATGATGATGAGCACCTTACGAATGAGGATTGTGTTAATGTTAAATTACTTATTGATTTTTTAGAAAAAATTTATATTGCTACAAATGAATTTTCTGGGCAATATTGTCCTACTATTTCTAACTGTTTAGTTTATATTGCAGAACTTGCTAATTTGTCTGCTCATTTTTCAAATGGCGGGGAAATTTATAAACTTGTTATCGATTCTATGAGAAAAAAAGTTTTAAAAATATTTTTTCCCTATTCCCCCTATTTATGGTGTTGCTGCTTTGTTAAGTCCTTGTATGAAATTAGGAGGTCCTCAATTTTGGTATGAAACTGTTTATAATGGTTTAGCACTTGAAGATGATGAGTTGTCTCAACTTCCAGAAGCAATAACCTCGGCTCAAACTATTTATAATGCTTATCAAGTTGCATTAAATCAAGCTAGACCAAATGTTTCAACTCCTTCTTCTTCTTCTTCTTTTTCTTCTTCTTCTTCTTCTTCTTCTTCTTCTTCTTCTTCTTCTTCTTCTTCTTGTTCTTCTTCTTCTTCATCTAAAAAAACTGCGGGAGTAAGAGCACTTAGTGCTTAGGCGGGGTTTAGGGGTTCTCAAGGTTCTAGTAGTAGTGATTTTTCGCAACTAAATGAGCTTGAAGTTTATTTGTCGCAGGGGATTGAGGAAGTTAATCCCGACGGCTCATTTAATCTTTTGGAATGGTGGAAGGACAAAGAAAAATACTTTCCGGTTCTTTCAAGGACGGTCCGAGACATTTTAATTATTCAAGCTTCAACAGTGGCATCAAAGAGCGCTTTCAGTCAAGCAAGACTTCAACTCGGTGATCATAGAGCGTCTATGCGGGAGAGCTTGAAAAAATCAGTACTTTTCAAAGATTGGATCCGTTCGGAAAGAAGAAATTTGGACTTGCTGAATCACAACTAAAGGAAGACGAAGTTTACGAAGAAATGCTAGCTGAACGTGCGGAGGATGCTACTTCGCCGAAGCGGCGATGGCCAAGCTATTTTTCCGCCACCACCAATGAAAATTCCTCCGAACCTTGAAGGATTTATGAAGTTTGTAAGAGATACCGTGTAACTTGTATGAACAAACATTAGTATGTATTATGTAACTTGCATTTTGGCACATCTTGATTAGTTTCTTTTTCTTCTCAGTGGTGGTATTAACACCTTGTTGTGCTCATTCCATAGGGGGGAAGGGGGAAGATTAAGAAAGATATTGCCATATTTTTAATGCTATAATAAAATTACAAGGCATTGCTTTGAATATCTCTTTACAATGTTTTTGTCTTTAGACTTTAAGTTTGAATTTAAAAATTTAGGTCACAATTCCATAGTAAAATCTACAAGGCATTGCCTTAGATATTTTTTTAACATCTTTTTGTCTCTAATTTCTATTTAACTTAAAAAAAAAATTATCCATTGGGCCCACTTAGCCTGCAAGCCCGGACCGTCTAGCCCGGGACCACGAGTTCGTGGGCCCAGTCCCAGGCCGGTTCTTACAAAAAGACCGTTTGGTCCGGGACCGTTTGGCCCATTTAATTTGGGATCGGCCCGGGGCTGTTTGGACCGGCCCACTTGGCCCGTTTAGGGCCCGGACCGGCCCACAGGAAAGCATAAGCACCACATTAATGAAAATATAAACAAGAAGGGACAGTGTCAAAAATCCATATAAAAGCAGAATAAAAACAACAAGATAGTAAGGTAATCAACAATGAAAGAAAACAACAGTTAGTCATAAAAATCTACTACCAACAGAAAGCGAGACTGCGTGCCAATACTACTGTTATGAACACTCTAGACTACCTACTCTACTACCCTAATCCTCGACCTCCATACCTTCATATCAAGTGTCATGTCCTCGGTCAGCTGAAGTTGCGCCATGTCTTGCCTAATCACCTCTCCCCACCTCTTCTTTGGCATACCTCTAACTCTCCGTAGGCCCTCCAATGTTAACCTCTCACACCTCCTCACTGGGTCGTCTGTGCTCCTCCTCCTCACATGACCAAGCCACCTAAGCCGCGCTTCCCGCATCTTATCCTCAATAAGAGCCATACCCACCTTGTCGCGAATAACTTCATTTCTGATCGTATCTAACCTGGTGTGCCCGCACATCCATCTCAACATACTAATCTCTGCTACCTTCATCTTCTAGCATGAGCAATCTTGACTGGCCAACACTCAGCCCCATACAACATCGATGGTCTGACCACCACTCTATAGAACTTACCCTTGTTTATATGATTTAAACAAAATACATATTTTATTAAACAAATTACATATTTTATAGGGATAAATTACATTTTGTATATCTCTGTTGTTTTGTCAAATAAAAAAAAAAATACCAATAAAAATATATGCATATACTACATAATATTGTCATTAGTTAAATAAATGCCGTATTATCATCCTCACTATATAACTTAAAATCAAACGACCCATCAAAGTTGGCCTTCTTGTCATCGGCAACTCACAGACCTGCAAAACCCAAAACCCACTTCCCAACCCTTTCCTCTCCTTCTTCCCTCCGTCCTTACAGAAATAATGTCGGTAATGATAGTGACGAGTTTGGGGGAGATGGTACTGGACTTGTTTACAGATCGCTGCCCTTTGACATGCAAGAATTTTTTGAAATTGTGCAAGTAAGTCCATTTATATTTTCGCTTATATTGAACCTGACTCAGCGGCTATCATTATTTCGTTTAAACTCGTCTATTCGCAGAATTAAGCTACGATTTTCGGATAAATTTGCGAAATTCGTTCACTTAGTTGCGAATCCTGTGTTGTATTCATGTCAATCAGAAACCTATTTATTTAATTTCAATATGCTAACAATGAATTTACTGCCGCAAAATAGCTAATATGTGAATTTCTGTATACTTATTGAATTAAAACTAACAAATTGAACCGTAGAGGATTTGCATATAGCCCACAGGCTTTCTTTGAATAATACAATCATAAAATACATTTCGGGATCATTGGAATTTTTTTTATTGCACCAACACTCAAAGATTTTATTTTTTTAATCTTTGATTTCTTAGGTCAAGTTTCCTTCTTTAATTTTTGTGTTTTTCCGATCATAGCTTTTCCCCTTGGCTTAGTTTTGTCTCGTTGATTTATTAGATCCAAATTGTGAACTTTTGAATCATGTGTCAAAGTTGGTACTTTTTCTTATGCTAGCCTTCATTCTATTCCTTAGAGCTGTGCCTAGAAGGCCATAACTATATGAATGTGTACCATGTACTGTGTACATTCTCTTACTTTCATATAAAGGCGGCAAACGGGCGGGTCGGATATGGGGGGTCGAAAATAGGTAATGCGAAAAACGGATAAATTATCCGCCCCGAAAAACAGAGGAGGTACTGCGTTGTTGGACTGTGCTAAAGCCTTTGATTTGGTAATTGCCAACTCGTGTTTTCCGAAAAGGGAGGAGCACTTGGTTACATTCTGGAGTTCGTTGGCCAAGACTCAAATTGATTATCTAATCCTCCGGAAGTGCAATAGGAGTCTGTGCATGGATTGCAAGGTTATACCCAACGAGAATCTCACGACTCAGCATAGATTATTGGTGTTGGACTTAGAGATCACGAAGAAGAGGAGGAAGAGGGCCGTGTATGGTCAACCCGGGATCAGGTGAGGTGCTTTTACTAGTGACGAAGCGCAGGAGTTGGGGGGG